TAGTAGTAGTAGTAGTAGTAGTAGTAGTAGTAGTAGTAGTAGTAGTAGTAGTAGTAGTAGGTAGTAGTATTAGCAGTAGCAGTAGTAGTAGTAGTAGTAGTAATAGTAGTAGTGGTCGTAGTAGTAGTAGTAGTAGTAGTAGCAGTAGTAGTAGTAGTAGTAGTAGTAGTAGTAGTAGTAGTAGTAATAGTAGTAGTATTAGCAGTAGCAGCAGCAGTAGTAGTAGTAGTCGTCGTCGTAGTAGTAATAGTAGTAGTGGTCGTAGTAGTACCGTAGTAGTAGTAGTAGCAGTAGTAGTAGTAGTAGTAGTAGTAGTAGTAGTAGTAGTAGCCGTAGTAGTAGTAGTAGCAGTAGAAGTAGCAGTAGCAGTAGTAGTGGTAGTAGCAGTAGCAGTAGCAGTAGCAGTAGCAGTAGCGGTAGCCGGAGCAGCAGTAGTCTTAGTAGTAGTAGTAGTAGTAGTAGTAGTAGTAGTAGTAGTAGTAGTCTTAGTAGTAGTAGTAGTAGTAGTAGTAGTAGTAGTAGTAGTATCGTCGTTCGTCGTCGTCGTCGTCGTCGTCGTAGTGGTAGTGGTAGTAGTAGTGGTAGTAGTGGTCGTAGTGGCGGTAGTAATAGTAGTCGTAGTAATAGCAGTCGTAGTCGTAGCAGTAAATGTTGTCGTTGTGGTTGTGGTTTGGGTTGTGTTTGTCGTCGTTGGTGGTGTTGGCGCTGGTGGTGGTATTGGCGTCGCTGTTGCTACTGTTGCCGGTGGTGGCGTTGTTGGTATCGGTGGTGGTGTTGATGGTGCTGGTGGTGTCGTGGTTGGCGGCGTTGCTGTTGTGGGTGCTTTCGCTGGTGGCTGTGTTGTGGTTGATGGTGTTGTGGTTGGTGGTGTTGTTGGTGTTGTTGGTGGTGGTGTTGCTGTTGTTGGTGGTGTTGGTGTTGGTGTTGGTGTTGGTGTTGTTGGTTGTGTTTGTGGTGTTGGTGATGGTGTTGTTGATGGTGGTGTTATGTTGGTTGGTGTTAGTGTTGATGTTGTTGTTGGTGATGGTGGTGTTGATGATGCTTGTGGTGTTGCTGCTGTTGCTGTCGTTGTCGGTGGTGTTGGTAGTGCTGCTGTTGCTGCTGTTTGGGTTGCTGCTACTGTTGGTGCTGTTGTTGGTGTTGGTGGTGATGGTGTTGCTGGTGTTGTTGTTGAAGTTGTTGTTGCTGTTGTTGTTGTTCGCGTCCTTTTTGGTGCCGCGAAATGACCCGACTGGGGTATTTTTGTGTCCCGCCCCTTGGCGTTGCAACGTGGCGAGGGAGGAGTACAGCAGCATGCTTGTCTCGCCCCTCTGGCGTTGCCACGTAGCGAGTACAGTACGGTAGATTGTTGTCTGTTCCGCCGTTCTTTGGCGTTGCCACTCGACGAGCCGAGCAGCATAGGATATCTGGTATCTAGCGGCCGTCGGCCCAACCCGTCACGGTTCCTTGGGCTGTGGACCAGAGTCCTCATGATTGTGTGTTGGGGTCTCTTGGGAAACGTCTCGAAGGTTGCTTGGAAGCAGTTTGGAAGCCTCTTGGGAGTCGTTCTGAGGCTTCCTAGGGGCCTCGTGGGGGCCTCTGGGGCGCCCGCTAGCCGCCTCGGGCGTCCTCTTTGGGCGGGGAGTCTGGGGGCGCTCCTGGGCCGTGCTGGAGGCTCCTTGGCGCTCCTGGGCCGTGGTGGACGCTTTCTGGGATTCTTGGCCCGTCAGTGGGGCCTCCTGGCCTCTGGAAACGTCATGTGGGGAAGCTCGGCCGCGCGCGGGAGCCCCTACATTGAATATGACAATATGGAATACAGAACACCGAGTACTCCAGAAGCCCGGGGAACATTCCACTCCGTGCCTCGAGGCACGGTGGCGAACTACTCAGACGATTCCGACTTCGCCCCCCCTCGTTCCTCCTGCTCCTCCGTCCTCGCTCAGACTCAGCATTCAGACTCACCTACACTCAGACTCACGCACATTCAAACTCACTTATGTTCAGAAGCACTCAGACTCAGTCGCACTCAGGCTCACTCACACTTAGACTCACACTCACGTTCGCTTGCATCCAGATTTCTTTACACTCAGAGTACCCACGCTCAGACTCATTCACACTCAGACTCACTCACATATTGTAGGGATGTCTCCGACGGACTGCTTGTTTGGTTGCCTATGGTTTACCGCTTTCTGGGCAGATGGTCAGGATGTCCCGAGCGAGATGTTGGATTTAAAACCCTAAGGATGGGGGGCGCCAGGGGGTATTGCACGGGACCGTTCGCGGCCAGATTGTGGAGATGTGTCAGGCGGTTTGCTTGTTTAGTGGCTTGGACTTCGCCGCGTTCAGGGCAGAGTGTGAGGATGTCTCGAGCGGGGCGCTGGCTTCATCACCCCAGGAGGGGGGCGCCAGGGGGTACTGCACGGGACGGGTCGCGTCCAGATTGTGGTGGCGGTTCGGGCGGTTTGTTGCTTGTGTCGTTGCTTGGACTTCGCCGCTGTCAGTGCAGATTGCGAGGGTGTCTCGAGCGAGGCGCGGACGTCACCACTGCAAGGAGGGCCCGCCAGTGGGTAGTTCACGGGCCCGTTCGCGGCCAGATTGCGGGGATGCCTCGAGCGGCTTGTTCGTTTGGTTGTTTGGACTTCTCTGCCTTCAGAGCTTAATGAGAAGGTGCCTCGAGCGAGGCGCTGTTTCTGGCACCCTCAACAGGGGGAGCCGCCAGGGGTGAGGACACTCGGCCGTCCGCGCTCAGACTGTGCGGATGTCTCAGGCGGTTTGCTTGTCTGCTGGCCCAGACTCCTTTGCTCCCTATGTGGGGGCCAGAGCAGATCGTGAGGGTGTCCCGAGCGAGGCGCTGGGGGGACGAGGAGGAGGAGGAGGAGCAGGAGGAGGAAGAGGGAGCAGAGGGGACTATGTTCCACTTCCTCCCCCTAATCCTCCCTTTACTCCTCCCTCTCCTCCTTCTCCTCCTCCTCCTCCTCCTGAACCCCCTCGTCCGCATCCTCGTCTCCTCCTCATCCTCCTCTTAATAATATCCTCCTCCTACTCCCTCATCCTCTTCCTTCTCCTCCTTCTCGTCCTCATCCTGCTCCCCCTCCTCCTCCTCCTCCTTCTCCTCCTCCTCACTCCCCTACTCACTCCTCAGCTCTTCTCATCCTCTCTTTCCCTCTCCCCGTCACTCTTCTAGCAGATTGTGAGGATGTCCCGGACGAGGTGCTAAGTTCAACACCCCAAGGGGAGCCGCTAATACAGATACCCAGATCCCAACTACTCACAGACAAACACTTTCATCGAGACGTTCCAGGAACATGACATACACACATGGGGATCTCCTCGTCGTGACGTGGCCAGTAGTAAGTTTGTTTCGCCCCCCTTGCGTTGCCATCTAATGTCCCGACCGGAACGCCGCTGGACGACGAGCTCTCCACAGGGCGGCCTCGGGTCGTCTTGTTCCTCAGGGGAGGTGGGGGCGCTCTGATGTTTCCTGGTGACGTCGTCGGCTTTCTCTGGTGACGTGCGTCGTTTTTCGGGAGGTCGTTTCCGGGCTTCCTGGTGATCATGTTGGTTGTTTCCACGCCTAGGGGGCCGGTAGGATACAGGGTCCTTCTGGGGCGGTGTGAGGGTCACCTCGGCGTTTGTTTGGGGGGTTCGCGGGCCCTGGCATCGTCCCGCGCCATCCTCGGTGCCTTGCTGCGCGATTCCCCAGGGTCTTCTGCACCCTCCTGGGGCCCATGGGGTCGGCGCGAGAGCCCGCGAAAGGCCCGTCGGGGCCGCGGAGCTCTCTTGGAGTGCTGGGGGCGGGCAGGAGCCCTGGCGGGCTTCTCGTGGGCCCCTGCCGGGCTGCCCTGAGGCGCCCACGGGCCCGCGCGAGGCCACCTGCAGGCTGCGGGGACCGATACGAAACAGGGAAGTCGAATGGTGAAACGAATGGTGAAACTTGGGTGAAGCTGGGGGGCTGAGTTCGAGGATTTCTATTCAGAGGCCCAAAAATCAAGCGCAAGCGGCGCCCCAGGACCCTCACAATTCACGACTACACTGGAAATCCAAGAAGCAACTTCTACAATCAAGAGAAAACCAATGACACATGTCGAAGTATCTTCATAGTGGTCACCTCTCACAACCGAAGTATCTTCATAGTGGTTATCCCCGACAGCCCAAGTATCTTCATAGTGGTTACCCCCGACAGCCCAAGTATCTTCATAGTGGTTACCCCGGACAACCGAAGTATCTTCATAGTGGTTACCCCCGACAACAGAAGTATCTTCACCAGCCTGCCGCACGCGGTTGCGCTAAAGCCAGACTGTGAGACCGAGTGCTCAGCAACATATGACAACCACGGAACACAGGGTCGTTCGTAACACATTGTATTGCACATTGGTTTAACTGGTTGCGGAAGGAGCGAGGACAGATGAGAATGAAAACGCGCGAGAGAGGCAAACGATTGAGGAAAGGGTGGACAGGAGGATGGGGGGCGTGGGAAACGAAGGAGGGGCTGGGCGTAACGAAAGTTGAAACGAGGATGACGGCAGGAGCAGACGGAGGAAAAGCATGCACACGACGTCTGAGGTAGGACTACTAGGCAAAGGCTCCTCAGAGAACCCGTTGGTCCTTCCCAGGAAAATAGATATCGGCAGACGCACTCTCATGTCAAGCACGTACTCATGCATTAACATATGGTCGGACGTCTTGGAAGTCCATAAGCAAGCAACTCAACTCATACTCAGACTCGCTCACACTCAGATTCACAAGAACCGTGTGTCGCCAGAGCGTCTTGGAGACATTTAAGTGAATCCCCGTTGGGCGTCTTGGAATTGTGTCAGCGTGTAACGCCTTTGTGATCATTTTTCTTGAGATTCGCTCCGTGTTTGTGTTTCGGGCTCGAACGTTGCGGCTTTCATTTTCGCCATCTCCCTTTACGGTGATGTGATGTGACGACAATGTCGTTTCCATATGTGTTTCTGCCGCTTGCGGCGTTCCATATCTGTGCAGCCTTGCGGCTGCCACCGACGGGAGTGTGGCCGCAGTGCACGCTCTGCGTCGAGATGGAGGGAGGAGGGCGCCTCGACCTAGACGCGCTGCTCAGGCAGTACAGGGCCGAGGAGGTCGAGGCGGCGCCGGCGTTCCTGGAGGCGTTCGACGAGATCCGCGCAGACGACGCGGAGTTCGACCACATCCGCGCAGACGACGCGGAGGTCATCGACGCGATCGAGGCCGCGCTGCTGGACGACGTCGCCGAGCAGCCTGGCATCAAGCGGTCCCGCCGCGAGTGGGCAGCTCACGCCAGGGCGGCGAAGAGCAAGAAGATGACCGACAAGCTTCGTCGGGACATCAAGGCCAGGGGTCTTCACGTAACTTGAGCTCGTTTCCCGTTTCCCCGTGGATCCATCCTCGCTTCAGAGGTGGGTCCATGGGGAACGAGCTCAGGGCACGCGAAAACTCTTGGCCTTGAGAAGGCTGTGGCGCTAGAGCGCGATCAGACGGTCAGGCAGGTCTCCACGTTGATACCAGCGGCTGCGAGTCTTCTTGGCTCGACGAGCGGCGCGGCGGTGGGGAGGAAGAAGATCTACAACTTGAAGGCAACGTGGGGATACTCGAGCATCCAGCGCACTTACTGCCCCTCTCCTCCCCCCCCCTTTCCCCAGACACCTTGGACTAAAGAAGGTAGCTTCAGAACTTCAGACTCCAAGGCCTCAGAGCTTTAGAGTCTGAACTTCAGAGCTTCAAAGGGTGACTGGGGATATAGGGGAGGGGGAGGGGCAGTTCGCGTGCTGGCGCAACCGTGTCTCCCCCATAGGCGGAGGATTTCAAGCTTGCGGCCAAGGCAGCGTTCATGCCAAGCAAGGCGAAGGTGGCGATTGGCGTCCAGCACCGTCGCCTCATCGCCATGGCGGCGCGCGTCACGAAGCAGAGGCAGGCCGTGGCAGTCGACAGTTTCTTGAACAAGAGCAAGGAAGAGCTGCGCTTTCCGAACCGCGCAGTTCACGTCGCTATCGGGCACATGTGGGACGAGGTGGAGGTGAAGCACAAGTGGAAGCCGTCGGCTAGATACAGGACGTTCGAGCAGCAGGTCAAGATGCCAGTTGTCGTCCAGCGGGCGACCTTCAACACGACCCTCTTCGACATGGCGCGCAACAGGGCGGCGCAGTACCAAGAGTACTACTTGGCGCAGGCGGTGGAGATCGACGGCACCAAAGCTAAGGACATCTTGCCAGCTGTTAGACAGGGCCTTCCGGCAAAGTTCGATGTGCTGGACGTCGAGAACTTCGCGAAGTCGGCCGACAACTACACGAGCTACACCTACATGCCGTGCCCTGACAGGGCCAGCAGCAACATCAACATTATCAAGAAGTTTGCGACTGTGATCGACACTCAGATTGTGCGCGAGGCGGGGCATCACATTTTGTTCTGGCCCGACACCTGCGGGATTCACGCGCACCACCGGGGCAAAATGAAGATGAAGTCGCTTCGGCGGCACACCATGAGGCAGTTCGCCATCGTATCGATGAACAAATACCGTGGTCGACTACAGCGCAACATTTTAGGAATCGAAGCCATCGTGAAGCGCGAGCTGACGAGGGAGATCGGGCCGCCACCACCTTGGGCCCACTCTATGACAGCAGTTGTGGACCTGCTTTTCAACGCGGAGGACGAGTACCACCGCCATCAGGGCAACGAATCGCAGATGCTCAGGGACCTCAGGGAGCTTTGCAAAGTTGCGAACGGCAGTTTGAGCAATGATAAGTTTATGCATCATTGTTGGGATTTCGAGACGTCCAGGCCGTGCTGCCGATCGCTGGACGAGTCTATTGACAAAGTAATCATTCACGCTTCGCGGATCACCATCAACCCCCATGGGCCCATGACCGTCGGGCGTTTTCTCCTCCGTGCCAACCTCTTTCGCTTCTTCCGCTCCCTTCAATCCTCCTCCCTCCTCTTCCGTGCTCCTTCCCTCCGTCTCCTCTTCCTCCTCCTCCTCCTCCTCCTCCTCCTCCTCACCGTCCTCCTCCTCATGGCTGCTCCAAAGCTTCGCGCGTGTTTCTTTTTTTCGAAAAGCTGAAGCTCTTGGGGGAGGTCTTGGAACATCTTGGGAGGCGGTCAAAGTCAAAGCGTCAAAAGAGATCTCTTGAAGAGAATCTTGGGACCCTGGGATCTTGTGGAGTCCTGGTTGGGGCGTCTTGGATTTGGAAGCGTCTTGGACTCTTGGAGCGTCTTGGAGCGTCTGGAGTCTGTTGGGCCCCCGCCCCCTCCAGGTCCAGAGGGGAGGAGGGGGGAAGGAAGAAGGAGTGAGGGGACGAAGGAAGAAGGAGGTTTAAAGTTTTGAGAGTGAGGGTACCTTCACGCACGCCCGAAGGGCTGTTGGATTCAGCACTCCGTACACGCACTTTATGGAACTTCTGATCCCCGTCCAGCGGAGAGCAGGTGGACCAATACGCTTATCAACATCAAAAGGACATTGCTTCGCAGGCTCTATCACAAGATCGGCCTGGACTGCTTCACTGGCACGTTGTACGCTTCCGACTGGGACACGTCAAACCCACCTGATGTGAGCATTGGCGACGAGGCACTTGATGATTACATGAAGCACGTGTTTCGGGCACGTGCGAAAAAGGTGAAAGAATACTATGAGTCAGAGGAGATGATGCGTGAGCTGGTGGTCTTCATGGCGATCCTCGAGGCTGCAGATGCTCGCCTCCTGTACCCTATGCTGGGAGATGCCATTCGTGACGACGGTGACCGCAGCAAGCTCGACATGCTCCTCGACACAGACTCGTTGATAGGCCAATTCACCGAGGACATGCTCGGCTTGCTCAACGTGTGGGACAACGGCGACGCCTCAAGGCGTCCGTGGATGCTGCTGGACATCATGAAAGTGCCCATGCAATGCCAGATATTCTCACGATGGGCTCGCAGTCAAATTTTGAGGTTGAGCTCGGTCATGAGTCGTCGCTACGAGGTTCGGTTTTCTGCACTGCCGTATTCGATGTATCCTTTATCTAGCCCTCGAGCGTCGGTAGCTGCGAAGCGAGCCACGGCCGAGAGGACACGTGCACTTGCTGAGCATGGTGAGATGCTAGACTGCTACACCAGAGGCATTCTCAGGCTTTTCCCCACGGTGAACGACATGCTCTCGCTAAAATGCCAGATGGTTTTGAACAGCGACTTCCGCGCGCACTGCTACGGCTCCGACCAGGTGGAGAGGCTCAACAGCGAGTACACCGCTCGCCACCATGTGCGAGCACCTGGGAGGAACGCAGTGAACGCTGAAAGGGAACACTTGCTTCATCAACTTACAATGGTCCATCGTCGTCATGGTGGCGAGCATCCGCTTGCAGTGCCGCGTAGAGTTAAGGACAAGGAGTCTCTGCAAGAAGTTGACGTGTTATGTTCACCTTTACTTGCGTGTATTGAGCGTCCGCAGTTGCAGGACGCCGACGCGATCGCGGAGGCGGCCCCTGGGACACCGGTGGCAATGGAGATTGACGACGCTCCTCGCGGTGATGATCAGATTGTCGTTTTCAGAGGCGTTGCAGCTGAGCCCGATTATGAAGAAGAAAGACCACCAGAAGGCGCCAATTATTTTGAGGAGGCAGTCGTTGTTCGCAAGCCGATCGATGAGCACCAACATCCTGGACATCCTGGAGGCGATCCCCACAGAGTGCCGAAGAATAGACGAGGCTTGAACCCCTACTTGCTCGAGAAGAACACGTACATGAGGGACGCCAAGAAGGCCAAGGGGTCGAACTTGACCCCAGCAGAGGTCGATGCATACACAAAGGAGTTCAAGTTGATGTGGGCGAACAGGGATGCAGATACCTACCGAGAAGCTCATCAGCTTTGGAGGCAAAATCACGAAGGGGATGATCAACAACAACCTGGCGAGACTGACATTCCGAAGTACGAGCAGATCTGGGGCGGCGGTGAGCCTTCCACGCCGTTGACAGCGCAGGAGATGCACGGCTACGTCAGCGAGCACGGTTGGCCGTCCGACGCGGAGGTTCAGGACAGGGACATGAGCGAGAGGAGGATCGCAAGCGACGCGACGGTCACTTTCGACTCGGACGAGGTCGCCAACGCGGATCCCTGGGGCACTGGGAGAAGCGCACGGAACATCCCGAGGGCGTGGGCCAGGGTACCCCAGGCGATGGACATCATCGAGAAGGGCATCTTCAACTGGTTCCTCTCCCTCGGCGCCGAGAGAGCAGATGCGTCCGACATCATGCTGGTTGCCGAGGGACCGCTGGCAGATGGTGGTGGATTCCAGCGCAAGGTCGCCATCGTCAGCGACGTCACCTACAACCCGCGCGTCTTCGACGTGGTCGCGAACAGCTTCGTGCAGGAGGACCTCGCCACTAGCGAGGCTTGGTCGGGTTCGGAATGAGGCGGAGGCGTCTCGCCCTGGGCCCGAGACCTGGAAACGCTGGGAGGAGGAGGAGGAGGAGGAGGAGGAGGAGGAGGAGGAGGAGGAGAGGAGGAGGGAGAGAGGAGGGGAACTGGGAGACGGGAGGAGGAAGAAGAGGAGGAGGAGGAGGAGGAGGATTTTTTTGCAACCAACTGGCCACTGGGACCTTAGGGATCCTAAGTCCTAAGCCACAGGAGTTAGCACGGGCCCAGGGCGAGTCTGAGGCTCTCCCTTATTCTGAACCTTAGGCGCTCGTTCTACCAGCCATCGTGAGCATCGACGCTCGCGCGAATAGAGTCAGTGGCCAATATCAGGCACTTGACTCCATGACCTCAGACGAGTGGATCTGGGGCATAATCGAACAGCTAGGTCGGGTCGATTCGTACGAGGCTACGTATACCATTGACTTCGAAGATGGTAGCCTCCGCAGGTCTGTGATTACAGCGGTCACACACATAGGTCGCGTATGGCATGATGGGATGAAAGAGCCACTGAAGTCTTCCAGAGCGAAGGCCGCCAGGACGCGTGAGCCTACTATTCGAGAAGATGATCCTTTCGGCGACGCAGCTGTAGAACGAGCAAGTCAAGTTTTAGATAGAGGTCGCGGGAGGAGTCGTGGCCGTGGCACAGGCCGAGGGCGGGGTCGCGCTCCTGGAGGACGCGGTCGTGGGCGAGTAGCTGCAGCAGCAGCTCTTGTTGATGAAGGCCATCCTGCGTTGCTGGATGCCGACCCCGCCGAGGAGCCGGCAGGGGAGCACGACATCGACCTTGCCGACACCGATTGTGCATCCTCGATCCAGTCCGTGGAGGAGATGGAGGCAGCGTACGACGAGAAAATACCACCAGCTCTCGTTGAGTCCGAGCTTCCAGAGCCAGCCGTAGACCCTAGGGATCGCCCTGCACTGGAACCGCCTGAGGAGCCGCGTGAAGACG